GCTTCTTCTAATAAGATATTTAAATTGTGCATAGATATTAATAACTCTATATGACACGTGTAAATGCAAACATATTTATGCAAAATTAGTTTTCCAATAGCGTCCCCTGCCGTATAAGCTTATCTTTCCACTTCGCACGCCGTAAATTGGTCAAAATCTCGTTGCTTCTCGACTTTGCTATGTATATATAATTGGTAGGGCGTCCAGTTTTTTAATAATCAGAAATCATACAAATAATTCGGAATAAAAACTAAAAATCTCTCACTTACGTCATATTTACTTAATTCTAAAGTAAAACTAAATAAAATTACTTCTTTAAATAATATTTTAGTTCATATATATTGTAGTTGTAGTTTTTTAAATATGTAATAATAATATTTAAAGTAATACCTTTTAAATAAATTACCTTTCTACGCTTTACTTTTCAATTGTCTCCCTACACGTGTATACTAAGAGCGTTTCAAGGGTTCGCTTATGCCCAATGAGTAGAAAGATAATATCATAGAGTGCTTGGTAATAATTCTATCTTGATATTAACACGTTAATTAAGAGATATAACATTATATTGGCGGTTGATATTTAAATCTTTGATAATAAAGTCAATTTTATAAATTAGCTTAATACATAAACTATTATATATTACGAAAAAGTTATCGAGACATCAGGATAATGTAATACAAACAATAAAAACTAAATTTCATTATTGTATATAATGTTCAAATTGCAAGAAATATATAAATAATGCAATGAAGAAGATTCCTTTACTTGTTATAGGTAATAATGAGTGTAGTTTTAATTAGTTTTTCGATTTGTGATTTCATCAGGCTTATTTTAATCTTAATGTCTTTTAGTAGGTATATAAGGGCATACCTAATTAAGTTATCTCACGTGACTTCTCTTGTTAACTAAATTACATTTAAATCCTTCCAGAAGTGTTGGTTGGATGAGGTTATAAATACTTTCATATATGTACGTATATAGAGAAAATATATATATATATAATAACCTTAGATACATACATACATTATACAAATATGTGTCAAGCTAATCGTTAAGTTCTTAAGCATTTTAGCCACAATATATACAAATAGTTATAACTTTGTCAACTCTAACATGCACATTCACACACGAAGTCACATAAAACTTAGAGCCAATTTAGGGTTATCAAAAAGCAGTGTCTAATACGAAAGTTAAAGATAAGGCGTTCCCTAAAGTAATCTTTCCACCCCTGAACCACCCGAAGTTGGAATAACTTTGGAAGACCATAGGCTGTTTGGAGAGGACCAAAAGGGCTTGAAATATTAATGTAGTTTCACAGAATCTTATATGAGATTGTATTTGATGATTGATGTTAATCGACAATTTTAATGATTCTAAACTCACATTTTATCTAACTATACATATATAGAGGTCATTATAAGTTTATAACTGAATTTATACAATTAAACTTAATAAACATAAAATAAACCTCAATAAATTTTAAATCGGAATGCGTTCGAGATTTAAAACGTTTTAATTTTACATATCACCAAAAGCATTCCCCAAAAACAATGGACGTAGCACAGTGGACGGAGTAATCAAGAGCTAAGAATGCACACACACAGAGAACACCACATGCACATGTAATGTACACAACACAGACACAGACACAGGAACACACACAGGGACGTATTCCTGTCCTTTTGATTGCAATTAATTCGGAACGGGGTGGCACGGGGCCGGGCAGAGTTGAACTTCACAACTTTATATTATTGTTGGAACTTATGTAATGAATTGTGTGTTAAGAGATATTTGTTTGAAATTATATTTACATATATCAAATTTGGAATTTTATTTTTGATGATAATTATATTAATCATACGATTCAAAAGAGGTTGATTAACTCATTTTTATATAATTGGTTTATATTTTTGAATTACTTGATGGTTTTAATATTATTTATATGTTATATATATTTTTTTATTGTTCTAATACGTAATAATTTATTATTTCATATTGTCTATATGTTTACGAAAAGTATTCAAATATCTGAGACTTAATTCAACTCTGTAACTCAAACGGTCTCGCCGTTACTCTTTGAAAAATATCCGAACATTTTTATCTCGTACTTATGACCTGTTAGAGATTTTTTTCTTTTTGCTATTAGTGGCTCGGAAGCACGGTAAAGGTAAAGGTAAAGACGGTGCATCCTCAAACATTTTTCAGTTTGATCAATTTTATTAAATTAGAAATAACAAAGATTTAAAAACTCCGGTTAAAAAATCTTTCGATGTTGAAATCATTTGTATTTTATTTATTATTTACATTCACTCATTCATTCATTCAAATGCCGATAAGAAAAAAAATACAATAAAATGAACCATATACCATATATAAAAACTTGATTAACATATTCAGAAATCATCTCACATTTGACCTCGAGGTCTCATCCCCAACAATACAGTAATGGTCCATACAGCATTTGATCTTTTGATCTCTCCACCTCAGGCTGTGACCCTTTACCTGAGATGACCGCTCGACCAGTTTGAATAATATTATTTATTCCCGTCATATTCTCTGAAGGGTTGTAACCTTTGATCATAGTGTCATATGTACATATGTTAAGAAAATTATTTATGAAATGTAGTTCATTACAAATACATATATTGAGAAAAAAGTTAAAGAATGTTATGCACTTTCATAGCCTTATTTTTTTAAATATAAAAAATGGAAACCTTTAAGAATATTTCCACAATAACCTTAGTAACGGCAAATCTGTTTAATTTCACAGTTTAAAATATAATTTATTGCTTTAACAGTGTAATCAAAACTTTTTAATATAAACAAAAAAATACAACAAAATAGTTTAACGAACACGTCTTTAGACCAACACAAAGCCCTCATAAATTAATCTCCCAATATCTTAGATAGTTTTGAACGCCGAAGGCACGCGCCAAAACAAACTTCGCTACATTTGTTACTATTATTGCTTTTAGTTTCCAATGTCTTTTATCTGGTACGTGATACTGATTAACTGTGGCTTCTTCTCATTAACGCTGCTTCGGTTTTAGTCACAAACATTCTTAAATGAAATCGATACCACAATTAAATAAATCGCTATGTTAAAAATAAATTAAACTTCAGTCCTGTAGTCTGTATATATCTCAATGGTACTTTTATTTAGAATTCCCTTACAAACGAGTCGTTTAATTTGTCATCCGCATCGCACTGTCCACTGCATCCCCAGACGGCGTATATAACTATAGTACATAACCCTTCCCTAACCGCAATGGCTAGAACATGCCATGAATATGCGCACTAACCCTTCAGGTCCACGCGGCAATTATTCAAACAGAATAGTTTAACAGAAAGGATTCTGAACACACTCCGGGTAATACAGAAAGACATAAGCACATATGCTCCAAATATAAAATTAACTTTATTCCATATTAATAAAGTTGAATTTCTATTGATGTAATGAAAGAAGTTATTAAAGTAAGGTAATGACGTCGGGAAATTTCGGTGTATTTAGAATATTTATACATTCGTACGGACCATTCGGATGGTACATAGGTGATTTAGTATTGCGGTTCGCATGGGCGCGAGATTTCTGAGAAATTAGTACCGCCGCCATTTTGTTTACGGAGAACTGTCAGAATTTATATGATGAATGGGTTCTAATGAATGAAAGAATGAATGATTTAAATTAATATTATAATTTAAATTTAGATTTGAAATTTTTAAATTGTAATATATTATTTAATTTATAATTTTTTTAGCTTTAGCTTTTGAACTTGCTTTGATTTTTAAAATAATACACAGTGCAATCGTGCATGGAAATAATTGGTGCATAATAATAAAAAACATATTTATTTTCCTCGGTGTTAAATTAATTGAATATATTTTTGGATGTAATTATTTTATATGGCACTTAAGTTTTATAACTATTTGTGTATGAGTGGGGAACGTGTGTAATCGCAAAGTATAATTGTTGGTTTAATGTCTTACTGCTTCTAAAATGTGTCGCGTAAAATACCACTGAGTCGCATTGTACAGGAACTTAATATAATATGGAGAGGGCTTTTAAACAATTGTAATTTCAACTGAATTAACACCTTTCTTAATAACTAATTCAAAGCATTTCAGATCAACGGTCTATTATAAAACTTAGAACACATAAAATTAATCAATATTTTTTGATGAGTATTGATTTATATATAAAGCCGTTTCCATATTAACCTAGCTAGAGTAAGACTAGTCAGAAATTGTAGAAACGACAATGACCAAGCGATGTTATAAGCATTAAAATTCCATTCGCATAGAGTGAAAAGACGGAACATCTTCCACGTTATACTATAGTTTCATTTTACTGTAAATATAAATAATAATACTACTAATGTTTTACGGTAATTTCGTTTATACGATTATAATGCTAGTTGAAAATATTTGAGTGTTAAGATTACAGTATTCCTATTAGAAATTGCAATTAATTTCGACAGGTATGTAATTTGAATATAAAAAAGTGAATATTCCACAACTGTCAATATAACCATTACAATTTAATTTTTTTAATACAAAAAGAATACAATTTATCTTATTGGTTTGTAAGAATCTTTTACTATTGAAAATAATGTACATACTGTTTTTTGTACCAACACTTTTGTGTCTATTAATAGATTTCGCTTGACATTTTATAATCGTAGCATACAGGAATAATGTTTTAGCTTAAGCCCATACATAGGTTCAAAAAAAGCAATCAAATAGATAAAAAACTACATTTCTTAGCATTACCAAATTCGGTAAAATGTTCCATCACTTCTCAAACACACAAAATCACTCGTTTATTTTGTTCATTAATATTTTTAAAGACTGTGGCAATTTAAGGAACGTCTTACTTGTTACTTTATTTCTTGAATAATTTCAAAAGCACACGAAAACAAAACTAATGTGAAGCACCGTGATTAAAAAGCATAATTAAAATAAATACACAGTCGGAAAATAACCAGAAACATGCTTCTGAATTACAAAATATGGCATACAGGTTGAAAACTAGGGTCGGAATGAAAAACAACGATATTTTTCGTATACAAATCTAGCGGCCCTAATTCGTGCACATGCCACGGGGAGTAGAGAGAAGGGCAAGGTGTGGGGCCTGTTATGGGGCAAGGGGTGTCACAATTTGGCGAAAATTCCGCCTGGTCATTCTCGGAGTCATAATTTTCTGGTGCGACGTTAGGGAAGGATGCTGTAATTGTTTCTGCTTGTAATTTCTCGGACGTATTGTTCGCATGCCTTTCCATTTTATTTGATTTTTTTTGTTTTATATTACATTTAAAATGAAATATATAAATTTTTATAATCTGCTGTAGCAACGCTTACTTTATGTTTTGAGTACAAATAAACTAATGTATGTACATATACTAGTATAAAATCGAAACTCAATTTTTTTTGTTAAGACCTATCGAAAAACCAGAAGTACTTAAACATAAACCCTTCATTATATCCCATCTAATAGACATATATAACACAAGTGATGTACTGTATATAACACATAACCGCTTAACATATAAAGGGGTGCACGTATTAATCATGTACACCCGGAATCCGAGCTCGTTAATCATTTGGCGGACGTTCGCCCGCAATCAGAACTTACATAGGCTTTTTGTTAATTAATCAAAGATTTACTTTATATTATGAATTTGATATCTTTAATGTACTCTTTATTCAGTTCAAACTGAAATCATTATTAGAAACGCTTTTAATTTATATGTTTTTTTTTCGTTTGTAGAGAAGACTTTATATGCTTTTGATATTTACTCCGTTAAATATTTTAGATTTTATCACGACCTAAGATATTTTTATAGTAAATGTTTAAAAGAAAAAATCAATAAGTTGACAAATAAATTAATTGTATACCTACTCTCGCGTTGGAAGCGAAATATAATTTCTAACTAAGTAAAAACTTCAGGCATCCTTAAAATAGTAATCCTTTAAATTATTCATAATATGTAGTTTCTTGTTGGTTGTTTTTTTTTGTAAAAAAAAAGTGTTTCCGTCTTATTTGATTCCATACAAAACATTTAATTCTATTTATATTAAGTGGAGCTTATTTTAAGATGTTGTGTATACTTTTATTTATGTAATCAGACTTAGGAAATTCATTATAGGACGTAAATATTACATTTAATCTGCAAAATGAATTTGAAATGTTTTACGCCACTGACTTAAAGCAGTATTTTACTCATTTAATATTTTTTAATGTTTGATGCATGTTACTCACATTATTTTTCCTAAGTTACATATAAATTATAAAATATTTACCTATATACTAGATTTGTCAGTAATATAATTTTCTCGAGTTTTCATATAAAAATAAAGAATACAAAACCAAAACATCACAGTTATTGATTTTTTATAGATAAACGTATGAGATATCGTAAAAACTATCACTAATTATACTACTAATATACTACTATCGTAAAAAATATGAACTGTAATTATTCTTCAAAAATTATACATTATGTACCTATAGTTTATTTATAAAACTTATTGCGTTTTCTTTTAAGAAATTATTTTCATAAAATTATCGTCGCTATTTTCTCTTTACTGGGAATAGGTTAAGAACAATTTAAATTTTTAATTCCTATCCTCATTTAGTTCAATTGTGTCTCTTATAAAAAGTCATATAATATTTTACAGTACATTCACATCCGAATTTAAAACAAAAGGACAGTTGACTCACACATATTTAAATTTTAATAAGGTCGTTATGAGCCGCCATGTTTAATGTCCGCTATTGTCTTGCACCCTTGGACTTGTGTGTATTGAGAACAATGTGTGTGTGTGTGTGTGTAACTTATGTACATATGTGTGCAACACGATATGTAGTTTGGTTATTACGATAAATTACTATAATTACGACATATACATAAACAAAATATATAATATTATATAGAAATATGTTTTCATTTTACTACGTAAACTATCAAAGGAAAAAACATAGTGAATCTTCAGTTATATCGATAATTATTTATACAATCCAATAACCTATTCTTGACCGATTTTAAAAACTTACAAAGGACATAAAAGTGAGTTAGACACACGCGAGAAGACAGGAATAATGAACAAGGAAATTCAAAGGACACTATTTCATAGTAACTTTGTAGAATTCTCTGTGATATTGATGTAAATTAAATGTATGAATATTTAATGTTATGTTTATATATAGGTATATATACATATATAATATGTGCTGTTTAAATTACATATAGTTTTATAGTTGTAAATCTATTTTATGAAAAAACTTAAAATTCATAAAATCTAAAAAGCAGATAATTACGTTTTTATATTTTGGTTTCTTTTCAAACGTATATTTTAATAAACTTATTAATTACGTCGGCGATTTAGTAAATAACGTGAACAGAAAATCTTTCATCAAACAATTACTTATTTGAATTTTGTTAAAAGTAGATTGCATTGACTATTTAATGGTTGTCGGAACATCTGTCTTCCTATAATTTAATAAATAACTTATCTTCGGACCCGTCGCGAACGCCTCCTTATTGGGTTTCCCTACAAAGGGATGTAAGGGTTCAGTACGATCACTGATTAACTGTAAACTGTAAATGTTGTAGTTATATACACCACCAGCAAGATAAGACATCTACATCTTAAATAAATCAACTAATGCAATAACGCGCATATATGTGATAAAAATAGCGTTCCATACTGATGCAATTATTACAAAAATCATTAAAATTACATAAAAACCATAACATACGTCATCATCATACATTCATATATTAACGCATTTAATCACTTCTATATGATAAAAATAGCGTTCCATACTGATTCTATTATTACAAAAATCATTAAAATGATATAAAAACCAACAAAATTACATAACATACGTCATCTTCATACATCCATATATTAAAGCATTTAACCACTTCTATATGATAAAAATAGCGTTCCATACTGATGCTATTATTACGAAAATCAACAAAATGACATAAAAAACATAACATTACATAACATACGTCATCATCATACATCCATATATTAGCATTTAACCACTTCTATATGATAAAAATAGCTTTCCATACTGATGCAATTATTACAAAAATCATTAAAATTACATAAAAACCATAACATACGTCATCATCATACATTCATATATTAACGCATTTAATCACTTCTATATGATAAAAATAGCGTTCCATACTGATTCTATTATTACAAAAATCATTAAAATGACATAAAAACCAACAAAATTACATAACATACGTCATCTTCATACATCCATATATTAAAGCATTTAACCACTTCTATATGATAAAAATAGGGTTTCATACTGATGCTATTATTACGAAAATCAACATAATGACATAAAAAACATAACATTACATAACATACGTCATCATCATACATCCATATATTAAAGAATTTAACCACTTCTATATTTTAAAAATAGCGTTCCATACTGATGCTATTATTACGAAAATCAACAAAATGACAAAAAACATAACATTACATAACATACGTCATCATCATACATCCATATATTAGCATTTAACCACTTCTATATGATAAAAATAGCGTTCCATACTGATGCTATTATTACAAAAAATCATTAAAATGACATAAAAACCATTCCATTACATAACATACGTCATCATCATACATCCATATATCAAATCATCAGTTGATCAATCAATGAGCCAATCGCACTTCGGATGTTCCCCAGCCGCTCAGCAACGCCTATTTTAACAGGGCCTAAATGAGTTTTTGCTGGGAAATGAAGGAATATCTGGAACACCTCTAGGGTTGAATGATTTATAACTTCGTATTAGAGGAATGTTTTATTTGATTATAAACCTTTTCAGACTGGTTTTGGTTACATTGTGTATATTTGTATATTCAATTTTAATTATAACGACGAGATTGTCAAGTATATGGTCAATTTTATGTTTTAATCCGCGAGATATCATCCGTTTTTAAATATCATTCAGAAATAAAATTATTAATATTTTCGATTTATTTTTTGTCTCAAGTCCCGTCTTGCAACAAATTAGCATTTTAGAATACACTTACAACATATTTGTTATACAAATAAAAAATTCTCGCCATGAGGATAAAAATAATTACAAATATTATATGAAAAGTAGAATAATTTTATTTTATACTAAATACATTTATCATTAAATTAATATTAATTAAATTAATATAAATATAATATTTTCATTATTATTAATTATTATTTATTGATTCTTTTTATTATTTACTATTTTCATTGTAGTTGCAAACTGTCAATAAATTACGTTTATTTTCCTGTGTTGCCCAAAAGTAAGTTTATTATTGTGTATATGATGTCTTTTTTATAAAAAGTCTCCTTCCGTATAATTTGAATATGTAAGATGTAAAAGTATAAATTGTCCAACAAATAAAGACGTTGATATTGACTAAAAAATATTCCACTACTCCATAGTATTATATGATACGAAGCCATTTCATTAAAAAACATATACAAGTATATTAAACTTAAGAAAAATGCAAATTAATATATTTGTGTGAAAGAGTAATGAACGATTATCCTTAAAATACTTTTATAGAAGGTCCTTTTATTATGTGAAAACAACTATTTAAAGATATTAATAATACAATATACTGATATATCATATACATATATCTAAGTACATACGTTTGTACGTAATATGTATATGTATATAGGATCATAGTATATGTACATGTACAAAAAACATGTGGGTACGGAGTTTTATATAGAGTCCATTGGTTCTATTGTTGAACATTTTTTTTATTTGCGAACGTGATTGAGAAACTGGACTAAGGTATAATAAGAAATCTTAGAATAATTTAGCGAGTTCACGGACTAACTTTGCAAGGAACATTTAAATCGTTTAATAACGCTATCATTTATTTGGTATTTTGTTATTTGTATGCAATAGCTGATTGTTTAATAGCTATTTATATAATAATGCTTCTAATTAATATCAATGTATCGCATGGAAACATCTTAAAAAGATGGGAAATATAAACAGCAGCAGTGACTCACCAAAGTCGCTTATTAGAACGTATTTTCAGACAATTTATCTTTTAATATATATTTTAAATCAGAAGTATTTAGACTCAATGTGTCAGTTAGGTAAGGTAACTTACTACGTATTTTTTTGGTATATTTGACCCAATCCAATCCCTTTTTCGGTTTTCGCTTTTCCAGTTTATATGATTTTTAAAGAACGGTCATTGGTCATTCGTATTTTTCTATTAGACAAAATCTCCC